GGGGGGCACCTGCTTCCTCCTGCCTTCTGTTTGGTTTGTGGGAGGGAAGCCAGGCCTGCCCAGGGCGTTGGCATCCCAGCGCAGCAAGTGCTCGGTGGCCTTTTGGTGCCGGCCCAGGGCCCAGTCCTTGGGCACCGCGGATTCCCACGTACTTGCAGAACACACGTCTGTACCCACATTTGTGGGTTCACACACGTTGCGCATCCTCCCTGGAACCAACAGATAACTCGAAATCAATGAGGTCAAGCAGCTTTACTAGTTTGCAGAAGGTGACTACAGCAGCCAGTCGGGCAGGAGCACCAGAGCATTGGCCCAAAGCCCACATCTGGGTGTGTTTGGGGGTCAGATCCTGAGGGCCGCCCCTCACGGCTGGTATCCTCGAGGCACCCGGAGCAGGACGGCCTGCTGGGGCACCAGCCTCACCACCTCCACGCTGGCTTCTTTCCGGGGCTTGGCGTGGGTGCTGAGCACCACCTTGGCCTGCCCGGGGAAGCTGAGCTCCTTCAGGTGGAGCTGGGTGGGTTGCAGCCCCAGGTTGAGGATCACCAGGAGGCTGGAGCAGGCACCCGGCCGGAGGAAAGCCACGAGGTCCTCAGCGTGGCTGGGGAGGGGCAGCGGGGTGAAGTCCGTGTCCTGCAAGGAGAAGGACTTGGCGTGCAACTCCAGGAGGGACTGGTACAGGGCTGCCAGCGGGGCTCTGCTGGGCCAGCCTTCCTGTGGGAGGAGGAGGGGTGGGGGAGAGAGAGAGAGACCAGCTGAGGCGGCTTTCCCCAGCCCCAGAAAGCCCAGGGGGAGCTAATCCGGAACCGCAGCCTCCCTTCGGTCCCCCTTCCACGGTGGCACGGTGGTTAGAATGCAGGATGGCCGGCCAGCTCTGCCCACAGCCAGGAGTCCGATCCTGACCGGCTTTTTCCAAGGTCGGGAAAATGAGGAGCCAGATGGTTGGGGAAAATACGCTGACTCTGTAAACCGCCTGGAGGAAGCCACTGGGCAGCTGCGGCCCCCAACCGGCCTGGCACCAGGGACAGGTTTTGTGGAAGACAAGTTTTCCACCTTGGGTGGGTGGGGGGCAAGGGGGTGGTTTCACGGGCAACCTACATCCCCACGCATGCCAGATAGGGCTTTGCTCACCCGTCCACTGCTTGCACGGCCGGGGGCCCAGCAGGCCACGGATCGGAACCGGTCCGTGGCCCAGAGGTTGGGAAGCCCTGCTGGGAAGCGCTCTGAAGCAGAGGACGGCTGGGTTGCCCCCTCTCACAAAACAGAACTCAACTCCCAGATGCTGAAGGACGCGGCCTGCGGCTCTCCAGCCTCCCTAGAGATGGTTTACGCCATTTGTGCTGGGAACGTCCCAACGCCGGCCGGCCACGTGCCCTTTGATGGGAATAAAGGCCCATTCTTCCCCCGGGTGCCACTGAGTAGGCCTGTCCTTGGCCAGCAGCCTGAATGGCTGATCTCTGCTCTGGAACCTGGATCGGTGCCCGTGGGCTTCCCTGGTGCGATGCCCGTGGGGTGATCGGGGGACGCCACATGCCCAGGGATGTCGTGGTTTGCAAAATGCCACCCTGGCCTGTCTCATCTACCTGCGTGGGAGGCTTGTGTGTCCACAGCCATGTGTGACGCTTTGAATTCCACTCTGGTTAATCAAAACTCTGAGCCAACTAGGAAAACATTCCTGGCGTGACATACGTCCCATTAAAAAGGAACTTTTAAAACCAGTAATAGAGCGGCAAGTTCTCCTGAAGTTGAGCTTCCGAGGCTTAAATAATATAATGGCTCTTTCAGGAAAAAGGTGTCCCGTATGCAATTTGCTTAACTAGGGTTTAAAACTTGGCTAGATTCATTTGAAGGCACGAGCGAAGGACAGGCTAGTTTTCACCTGGTGCGAAGCGGCTTTTCTTTTTATTGCTGAAGCTGACCCTAATTCAAGGTCCTGAACCACGATACAAGATTTTACCACCCAGTGACTCCGGGCCTTTTCAGGAAGTTGGATTAAGGTGAAACTAGAACAGCAAAGTCGCCGAGGTGGGAGACCCCTGGACTAGAAGCCTTCCAAGGTGCCTTCCAACCCTGATTTTGGGGGGCTCAAGGCCGACCTCTCCCTTCTCCCAATAAGGAGAGTCTCTTCTTGAGCACCGTTGCAAAGGTTGCTGAGGGTCGGCCAGGCCTGGGGGGAAGCAGAGGGATTGTCTCACCATCTGCTCAAACTCCAGCGGGAGCGGAGACCTCGGCCCCCCTTGCACCAGGGGCACTCCTGGGAGGGTGAAGAGCAGCACCCCAAGGATTTTCCCCCAGCCACCGAAGGGCGAGAGTCCACTGGGCACCTGGAAGAAAGCACAAAAGGAGCGTTTCTTTGTCCTTTGGTTGCCCCCTGCTCTGGACCCAGCTGCCTGGATGCCCTTCGGCTGCCTCGCCTCTTTCCAGCTGCCCAGGCCTGTCTTGCCGGCGTATCTCATCCTGTCGGGATCATTTTGGCTTCCCAGCCAGGGCACCACATGGGTGACCCAGACTGGATTCCAGCCCCCTTCCTATAAACAGCTTTGGCTTCCAGTGTGCTTGGGGTAGAACTGGCCAAAAGCCCAGGGTGTGCCCAGAAACCCCTTCCTTACTGCCCAGCTGGGCCACGGGGTGCCAGGAAGTTGCGGGGATCCCTGTCCCAGTTGCAGCAGTGCCTGAGCAGAGAGATTTCTCTGGGTTCCCGGCAGGTGGCAGGTGAGGATGACCCTGCTGGGCATCCCCTCAGAAGCGCTGCAGGTCTCACTCCGGTCCCATACGATGAGGGCCCTGCCAGGGAGAAGGCGGCGGAAACTCAAATCTCTCCTGGCACCCCATGCCTGCGCTCCCCAGTGCCGCCACCAGGGGGTGCCCGCCCTGCTGGAATGAAAGGGGGGGGGAATGCCGCCAGCTCGCTCACCCTTGATCCCGTGGATCGCTCCGCCTGTGGTCATGGAGGGCGCCCCAGGCCTTGAGTACCTGCAATCACAGTTCACAGGCATCCGTCATTCCCGCATCCCGGGCTGCTTAAGGTGGAATAAGGAAGGAATCCTGGGCTGGGGACTCCGGGCTTCCTCTCCTAACAGGCCTCCTGCGCGTCAGCGTGTCTTTTGTTGGAAGGTCCATTGTCTTTGGGGTTACAGTTCGAGTCTTCCAGATTTTAATCGCAGCAGCAAAACAGACAGCAAACTGGTCCCATTTCCACCCTTAATGTATGCAGCAATTCACATTTTGTAACTCCATTAAACAACGATACATCATTCCCCTTAAAGTGCACTCTCAGCTAGGTATTAAAATATCTTTTAAAAAACTGCTGACATGAAAGTACTGCAGAGTACTTTAATGATACAGTACAGTAATTAAAAAACAAGGAAAGCTTCCAGGTTGCCATTTTAGCAGTAGGGCTTCTTAAGTCTTTCCGATCTATAATTTTGACTGAGACAAAACCGAAGCCCTCTTTCCTTTACATGTCATGATCAGCTGTGGGTAAGGAAGCCTGAGAGGTGGGACGTGCTGCATTAATTCAATTGGGAAGGCTTACCCCTTCTCTCCCAAGCCCCACATCAAAGGGCCCAGATCTGGAGGGATGCCCTGGGGGTGGGTGGGGGGGTGGGGGTGTCTTCCTGCCTGTTTTTCTGTCTGTCCATACGTGCAGCAAGAGCAACGCACAGAAAGTCAGCAAAAGGCATGAGATCCTCACACCACAAACTGCCTGTCTGGAAGCAGCTTTTCTCTTCCCCCAATCGTTTCAGCAATAAAATGAAATGTAAACAGTTTGAAAAACAAAAGTTTTACGTTTTGTTTGCTGTCACTGCAAGAAGGAATACTTATAGCCAGGAATTCCCATGAGATACCCATGCGGTTAATTCCATGTTTTTTCTCCTTTACTGATAAACTGGAGGAAGGAAGAAAAAACAGTCGGGAGTAGCATAAAAACAAGCGAGTTGATGTATCTTGGATTTTAAAAAAAGGTTATGTACTATAAAAGCGTGTTCAGAAGCACCCAAATGCCAGAGAGAGAGAGAAAAGGAGGTGTAACAACAAAGGCGTTGTGCCTGCGGTGTACAGAAATTGAATTGCCGCTTAGATGACATCTTATTCCAGGAAGGTTAGGTTTATGCACTGCAACCTACACATACATATGCAACACAAATACAAACAAACACATACATATACAATACAAATATATATATACAAGAAGTTAAGCTTACACACCGTGCTACACCCATTTTTGTTCAGCATTCATTGAATAAGCCACAGTAGGTTGGCATCCCATTAACCCTAAATTGGGGGTTACAAGCCTCAGGGACTTCCTGGAGGATGTTATGCCCAAGCAAAGCAGGCCGCCGTATGATTTAGGGTGATCACAGGGTGCTCTTCCATTCCCAGCCCACTCAGGTTATTGCTGCAAATAACTTGCATTGGTGAAACTCACCGCGAGGAGGCACCAGGCAGGGTCCTTGGCCACCAAAAAACCATGCACGCCTTTGGACTGCCAAAACTGCAGGGCCTCCTGCAGGACACGGCCGAAAAAAGGAGGGAATGGAGGCTGAAGCCCAGCCTGGGAGCCTCTGACTTCTGGCCAAGGCTCCTGGCGTTCCTCAGCAGAGAAGATAACTTGAAGCTTGGGAAAATGCAGGACTGGGCCAGCCAACCGGATGGCGGCCTTGCCCCTCCGCAGTCAGGGTATCCTGCCCTTCAGTCTGATTCCAAGCCAGGATGGACTGGCATGGAGAACGGAGGCCACCCCCGACCCCCGGGCCCACCTCTGAACCTGGGGGAGCCTTAAGCTGCGGATGCCGGGGATACCTTGAGGAGTCGCACTGTTTGATTGCTCTCGGCGGGGGCGTCACCCTCTGCTTCCCAAGGTGGAAGTTCAAGCAGGATTCGGATTCCTGGGGGGTCGGGGAGGGAGAAATACAGGTGGCAAACAAAAAACAAAAAACCTCAGCCATTGACCCAAGGTTAATTTTTGGAGGCCTTCACTCCTAAAAGATGTGCTAGTATATAAGCCAGCAGTCTGTGGCAGCAGCCCAAAAAGCCAGTGCCATCCTAGGTTGCAGCAAAGATGCTTAGGAGGCTGGAGGCATGGGAAAGAACGGTTGCAGGCAACGGGCAGGGCTAACCCGGTGCAGAGAAGGACTAGGGGTAACAGGGGTGATAGCCGTCTTCCAATCTCTGAGGGGCTGCCCCAGAGAAGAGGGGGGAGTCACCCTACCCTCCAAAGCCCCCGAAGGCAGGAGAAGGCGCAACGGATGGAAACTTAACCAAGGAGAGGAGCACCCTGGAACTAGGAAGGAATTGCCTGACAGCGACAAACCATTAATCTGACTTCTCTCCAGAAGCTGTGGGGGCTCCAACGCTGGAGGCTTTCAGGGAAAGACTGGGCAACCATTTCTCCTGCCTGAGAAGGGGGTTGGACTAGAGGACCTCCAAGGTCCTTTGCAGTTCGGTTATTCTGTTAATAGTTGCATCACCGATTGTAAAACTGTATCAGGCAAAGTAAAGGGTAGGTTTATTCACAGCTTTTAGCCAAAAAATGGAGTGTCATTGTCGCTCTTTTGTTTTTAACCTCTGTTCACTGCCAAAGTCAGCATGTTGAGCTGGGGAGCCATATCAATGGAAATACATGGATGAAGACAACAGCTGAAGGGAGCCTCCAAGGTCAGAGGCAGTCTACCTCAAGAGAGGAGGAGGAGGACGGGAGAGTGGAAAGGACTTTTTCCTCTCACTGGCGGGGCTGGGGGGCTTTCCTGAGGAACTTTGCCAGCCCTTTGGGGAAGCAGAGCCACCACAGAATCCGTGTCTGGCCTGGGTCCAATTGGTCCACAGCTGCTGTTTCTCCAGGACTGTCCATTGTTTTTACCAGCGAGCTGGCCAGGCCAGACCCAAAGCAGGGCTCACAAGGTCCCCTTCTGGCTAGTGACCAATCCAGCCCCTCTTTCAGGGCACTGGGCTTCCACAGCAATTGACCAGCCCTCTCAAAGCACCTTGGATCTGGGGCAACTGGAAGCAAAGCTGCAGGGGTGTCCGGTCCCACCCAGCAGTTCTGCCCAGTACCTCTCTTGTGCCCGTCAGTCCCCAGAGCTTGCAGCTGTGCCAGCGATCCGTGGGCAGGGACGATCTGGGTCAGGTTGGCCCCTCCGCCTTCAAGGATAGGGCCCAACACCAAGGCCTGGATGGGCAGGGTTGCCAGCTGGTCCAGCTGCTGCCTGACCCCTGCAGGGAGGGAAGGGGGCACTGAGCGGGCACCAACAGCCTGGATCCAGTTCGCCCGGCAGTCGTGTCCTCCTGTCCTTACCTGCCAGGTCTCCCCACCCATCGCCGTCGGAGTCCGGGAAGGAGGAGGGGGGCAGGTGGTAGAAGGCGGCCTTTTGCCACCAGTCCAGGGGCGGGTGGGGGCGGGGCAGGGAAAGGAGCAGGGCCACAGCCAGAAGCAGCATGCAGGCGAAGAGGCCGCCCAGCAGGCTGATCAGGGCTTTGCGGAGTCTGGGCCAGGGGGCAGCGCTGCCCTGCTCGGCCACCTCCTGCTGGCTCAGGTGGGTGGCGCTGGGGGCCGCTTTGGCCAGCAAGGGCAGGTGCTCACTGGGCACAAGGGTGGCGCCGTCTTCCAGCTTGCCCATCCTTCTTCGCTCCTTGGGGCACGAAGCTGTTGAGGGTGGGAGAGAGAAGGAAGAAGCAGACGGAGCGTGAAGCCCAGAGACAAATCATGCTGAAATGCAGGGACCCTCCGAAGTACCACCCAGTGGGAAGTCCCACGGCTGGAGCCGCATGGAAATGGGGAGGGGTGAGCTCAAGCCAGCTAGAGGTTGGTGGGGTTAGGCACACTGTGTCTTCAGCAGGCTGGGCCCCCCATTTGGCTGCTAGTCCAATAAAGGGGGCTACATTTTGGGTCAGCTAATGTGGGATTCTCCCCTCCTGCTGCTCCCAATGGAGGGTTGCTTCGACAGCAACGAAGAGGGCTGTTGTCCTTCGGGGGGGGGGGGAGGATGTGACCAGGTTGCCCCCATTGCTTCAAAGATCCCTTCCCCCACTGGTCTCCCTTGCTCTTCAAAGCAACAGCAGAAGTAACTTATTGGCTGCCCCGCCCAGCCGTGGGGCTCCCAATCCCTCCTGTGCTACCCAAAGCATCAGCAGACAAACATGTCTCTCAAACCATCGATCAGCATAGAGCTGAAAGGGACCTTGGAGGTCTTCTAGTCCAACCCCCTGCTCAGGCAGGAGACCTGGGCCATTCCAGACAAGGGACTGTCCAATCTCTTCTGGAAAGCCTCCACTGATGGAGCAGCCACAACTTCTGAGGCAGGCTGTTCCACGGATTCATTGTTCTCCCTGTCAGGAAGTTTCTCCCTAGTTCCAGCTTTCCTCTCTCCGCGACGGTTTCCATCCGTGGCTGCTTGTCCTGCCTTCTGGTGCCTCGGAGACTAAGTTGAGCCCCTCCCCTTCTTTGGGGCAGCCCCTCAAAGACCGGAAGTCTCTTATGTCTCCTCTGGCCCTTCTAGGCTGGCCAAACCCAGGTCCTGCAACCGTTCTTCTTCGTATGTTCCCTCATCATCTCAGTTGCTCCTCTGAACTTTTCCCAAAGTCTCAACTTCCTCTTTGTAATGTGGTGGCCAAAACTGGGTGCAGGATTCCAGGTGTGGCCTTACTAAGGTTTTACAACGTGGTACTAATACTTCACCTGATTTTGATTCTATGCTTCTGTTTATACAACCAAGGATGGTATTAGCTTTTTTGGCTGCTGCCGCACACGGCTGGCTCACTGCTGTCTGGCTGGGGAGAGGCTTTTACGCAGAGACCGGAGACAGCCTGGCCCCCAGAATGTGCTTCCCGATGACGACTCTGGACCCGTTTTCAGCCAGCAGCAGCAATGCTTGTGTGCTGCCCGATTGTGCAAGCAGGGAGTCAGCCCCCCCCATCACCAGCTGTTTTGGGGAGACCCCCCCACCTTCAGCTGCCAGGCCAAAAGGCTGCAGGAAAGTGACACATTGCTCAGGTATTTCTGGAGGCAGGAGAGCTGGACAACCTTGCACAAGAGCGGCGGCTGGGAGATAAGGAGGTTTCAGAGTTCGTCCCTGTGGAAAGCCCCACATTCTGGCTCAGACGTGTTTGTTTGCGACTGTGACAGCGGCCAGCATTTTGTGGCTGGGCCTGGGCGAAGGGCGTCCCCAGCCAAGGCTCGGCCCGGGTCTCGGCTCCGTTCCCCGTCCTCAAAGGAAATTCACACCCCAGCAGCGACAGCCGTTTGATACTTAAATAAAAAGATTGATATATAGATAAATGTATAAATGCAGCTGGGCAGCCTTGTGATTTTAAGACCCTTTTTAGAAAACAAAACCTCTCTCTTCTCTCCTCCAGCTGCTGAAGCGGGGAAGGCTCCGAGTGCAAAATGCCTTCTGCCCCCTTCTCCCTCTTTTGAGCCGGGGAATCCTCAGCTCTGTGGGCCGATGGGCCACATCCTTCTGGACTAGTCGCTTGCTGCTGAAATACACCCCGGAGAAGCTGTCTCACACCCCCCCCCCTCACAAAGGAGGGACTCAGAGGACCAGGGGTGACTGGAGAGGAGCTGCGACAAAGAAGGGGGGGGGCGCCCTATTCTCCAAGGCCCCTGAAGCAACGGGGGGGGGGGGTTACTTTTCCAGGAGAGAAGCAACCTAGAACTGGAGAAATTTCCTGACAGGGAGGACACTTAACCCGAGGAAGGGCTTCCCTCCAGAACTGGTGGGTCTCCAACATTTTAAGGAGAGACTGGACAGCCATTTGCCTGCAATGTTTCAAGGTCTCTTGCTTGACAGCGGGTTGGGCTGGAGGACCTCCAAGGTCCCTTCCAACCCTATTATTCTGTTAATGAGTTCCAGAATATTCGAATGCATCCCAGTGCCCCCTCTAAGCAGGAGAGTGGCAAAAGTCACCTGGATCACATTCTGAGCACCGGAAAAGGTGACTATCGCCTCTCCAGGGAAGAACCATTGTGCCACAAGGGATGCCAGCCAGAAGCAGCTGCATCGATTCTGAGAACAGCCAGGTCACAAGTGGCCACTGGAAGATTTTCCAGCTCTTCTGCCCCCTCTCCCGCCTCTCCCTTCCCAGGGTAGAAATAACGCAAAAGAAAATGGCCGGGGGTTTCTGTCCCCCCTCCCGTCCCCCCGTCCCCCCCGCAGCCCCTGCCCTTCCTTACCTCGCCTTCTGCCTGGCTCTCCTCCACCTGCAGAAGTCTGGAGGGGGCGGGAAGAGGGGTCTGCAGGGCAGGGACTCTTTCTGGTGCCTCCGCCCCTCTTCCCACCCCAACCTCTTGCACGGGGGGCGGGGGGGGGCAGGGCTGGGGGGGGAGATGGACAGGCCTTGAGGAGCCATTAGCAGCCCTTTGACAATATTTGGACAGCCAAGACATCCTGCGGCTGCTTCTCTGATCTCAGACAAAAACCACCCAGGCCCCCAGCCTATGGAAGACCGTAGGCAGTCCTCGACTTACAACCGTAACTGGGAGCAGAATTTCCAGTGCCAAGCAAGGCAGTTGTGAAACAAGATGCACCCACTTACTTATTTGTTTATCAAATTTATTTGGGCCTCCCATCTCACCACAGAGACTCTGGGTGGCTTGCAACCTTAAAAACAATAAAGCCATGGGAAATATTAACAATACAATTATAATTAAAGGGGACGTGCGAAATAAATCATGATTGGATGAGTGCTGCAATGATGGTTTACGAGGTACTGGCTTTTAAAAGACTTTCTTCTTTTGCCTTTTTTTTTTATTGTGAGATAAATTTCATTCCATATAGTTTTTTTCTAGTTGTTTCCTAGCACTAAATCAACGGGACAGCCCTGAAATAATACAAATACTAAACCGAAATCAAACCAAGGGAAGTTGCAGGTAATCCAGGATGACTCTGCAAAAGTGACCCTGTGGCTTCTCCCTTTCCACAAACAGGACAACACAAAACTCACTCTGGCTAAACAAACGCCATGTGGAGGGGTTTCCCCCACTTTCAGGCAAAAACAGCACTCAGCTTCAGACCTTCCAGGAGGGTTTAGTCACCCCGAGATCCACACAAGACTTCCACACAAGCACACCACTCGCCAGAAGCCCAGCTGGTTAAATGGCAGCTCAGGGCCGCTTAGCCCATGTCGCCTGAATGGGCTCCTGCTAAACTTGTTCCCACTGAGTGGGGGGTTTCTCTGTTCACCCCGACCGCCCCCTTTGGAGGGTCCCGGGGGAAGCCCCTCAGTGTAAAAACCTTGGTTTGGCCAGCAAAGCTGCTGCTCTCTTGCTGCTAGCCCAGGATCGGGGCATTTCTCTGGAGGCAGCCGGTGGAGGGACCCCCGTTCCAGTTCCGGGCCGTCTTTGCAGCCCCCAACCAAGCCAGCCTCCCCTCGGGCCCGCCTTGCTGAATCCTCCGGCGTCCTGCACGGCCAACTGCGCCTCCCGGGGTGCACTTTGTCGCCCAGAGCGATCCGGCCTCCGCTGCCCGTCCCGAGCGCCCCCGTCCCACGGGGAAAGGCAGGAGCGCCCCAAGCCCCCCCCCGCGTTTCTCTCTCTCTCTCTCTCTCTCTGCGGTCGGCGAAGGCAAGGCGCCAGCGACGAGGACCCCCCAACACACACTCCCGGCCCTCGGGGCGCCCCCTCGGCGGGCGGTGCCCTCTGCGCGCAATCCTCGAAGCCCGCGGGGAGCGGCCGGGACCGCTGGGCGACCAAGGGGGGCCGAGCAGGTGCAGAGGAGGGAGGCCCCCCCCGGGGCCGCCGGTCGGGGGATGCGCAGATGCGCAGGGCGGGGCGGGGCGGGGGGGGGGTCGGCCAGGGGCCGCGCGTGCGCGAGACGCAGCGAGGGGGGCGGGCCGAGCCGCTGAGTGGCAGGCGGGCGCGGGGCGGCAGGCCGAGGCGAGGGCCGTCTGAGGTGCTGCCCGGCGGCTCCGAGGCGCGGCGACCCTTCACGGCCCGGCCGGCTGGCGGCCCCAGGCGCTCTCCCGCGCTGCCGCCTCTGCGCTCCATCCCCGCAGCCTCGTCCGCATCCCCGCTGCGGCGCCTCTCCTTTGTCCCCGCCGCCGCCGCCGCCTCGCCTTCTGTGCGGCCGGCCCCGCTGGACCCTCGGCGCCCGGCACGCGGGGACCGTCCCGCTGGCGCCTCGGGCAGGATGGGGCTGCCGGGGAGATGAGCGGGGGGCGGCGGCGCGGTCGGAGCTCACCGCCGCGGCGTTCCGCATGGACCTGGAGGCGGCCGGCTGCCAGGGCGATGGGGCAGGTGCTGGGATTCGCCCACTGCAGTAGGTGTCGCCCGCGCCGGGCCGAGCGGGGGCGAAGGGCTGGGCCCCCCCTCCCCGCTGCCCATCGCGGAAGCGCCCCCCCTCCGGTGGGATACAACCCGAGGCCCGCCGGGTAGGCCCCGCCGAGCGGCCCCCGCCCAACGCCCCCTTCGCCCTCGGCCGAGCAGCCGGAGGTTTCCAGCCGCTTCCGCTCCTCCCTCTGCAACCCGGCGCCCCCGAGCCTCCGCTGCGCCCCCTCCCACGGGCTGTGGAGCCGGGCTGCCCTCCGGCGCGCCTGCCGGGCTCTGGGTGGGGACGGCGGCTGTTCTCCGCGCGGCCGGCAGAGCGAGGCGGCTGGAGCGCTGCGGCGTCCTCCGGCAGGCTGCCATCTGCGCGGGGGAGGGGGGGTTGGTTAAGGGCCCTTTGGGGGGGGGGGGCGGCAGAGCCCGGCTTGTGCTTTGGCTGAATGGGGCGCGGGATGGGCAGCGGGGGGCAAGCGGGGGCAGGAAGGCTGGCGCCCGAGGGAGGTTTCTGCCCCCTTTTCCCGCCCCCCCCCCCAGGTGGATCTCTGCCTCTGTGTGGCTGTCTCCTGCCCGGCCTTCTGCAGTGGGGGGGGGGGGGGGGGCCACTGGGGCCCTGGATAGTTGCTCCTTTTTTGAGCCATTTGTGTATTTGGAGCGGCTCCCCCTTGGACAGAGACGAGGTCAGGGCCTGTTGTGCCCAAAAGCCAGGATGGAGTAGGTCACAGCCACAAATGCCCGTAGCCCAGTCTGCAGGTGGCCTTGTCCAGCCTGAAGCTCAAACCTCCCGGCCAGGTTAGGTGCAAAGGAGGGTGGTGGACAGGTAACCCAGCGAAGGTTGAAATGTGCGTTTCATCCCAGATCCTTTGGGAAATTGGATCTCTGCTTTCAAAGTGACTCCTGGTGAGAGCTAAGTAAGCCTGGTCTCCCCCTCCCCCCTTGACCCTTGACCCTGCCAGCTTCCAAGCATTGGGTGGTGGGCCGGCCATTCCCGGCCATTTCTCCTGCCAGCACGGACGGAAGCAGAAGGAAGAAGGGGGAGGCAGGGAAGCCTGACCATCCAGGGAGTAGCTGTTGATGAGCCTTCTGCTTGATAACATTGGGATGGCCTGCACAATGAGGCACCGAGTATTGTGGCTGTTGTGTCCTAACACAGCCAGGAGATGCCACTGACCCAACCTGCCATGCAGCAATCAAGCACTGAATTGTGAAGCCGTATCACCTAGACAATCGGGGGGGGGGGGGGGGTGTCAGAATTACAGTGACGGCCTTCCTGCTCCTCTGGCCTCTCGGAAGGCCGCCAGGCTCCGTCCCAGGTTGGCCTACTGAGCGAAGGCACCAAGCTGGAAGGTTAGGCGTTCTAGTCCCGCCTTAGGCCTGAAAGCAGTTGGGTGTCCTTGGGCCAGACACGCTCAGCCCAAGCCGCCTCCCCGGGTGGCGGTTGCGGGGAAAGCAGGAGGAGGAAAGAGCATTAGAGACGTTCACCGCCATGTTTATAAAAAACAATAAAGGCGGTCTATAAAATAAATCGATACTTGGCTTCCCTTCCTTTCCTGCAGAAGAGTCTCCTTCGACTGCCTCTACCACTCCGGATTCGACAGATGGTGAGTGTGCAAAGTGGCTGCCCAAATCAGGTCCCGGCGTTTGTAGCCATGTCACCCAGTGTGCGGAGCAGGTGGCACCGGGTCACAGGTTCGGAAGAGCCAGCTGAGCGGGCTGCTCTGGGGGCTGGATTTGCAGGCCCAGCCTGCTCCCTGCATCCTGAGGGACCGGGCCGCCTTCCCAGACGTCTCCCAGGTGCCAAAGGTGTCCTTTCCTTCTGCAGGAGCCAACGAGGAGTCTGACTTCCCTGAACTGCAGACAGCACGGGAGTTTTCAGAGGAGGAGGAGGAAGAGGAGGATGGCTCTTTGGAATGGGGGACCCCCCGGGAGCTGACTTTTTCCTACATCACCATTGCCAGCCCCTCCGGCAGCAGCCCCAGTGCAGCAGAGCATCGGGGCAGACGTGACTCCCAGACCCGCCGGACGAGGGCTCCGCTGCCCCGCACAGAGACTTGTGAAACTTTTGTGCCCACCCTGGGGGACAGTTTGGAGAACATTCCCAGCCTCTGCCCATCTCCAGAGGCAGAGGGGGCCCGACTCTCGGGCAGCGGCCAAGGACTGGATGACTTTCTAATGGATTGGACTTCCCAGGCGGGCTGTGGCAGCGACCTGGATGCCTCTGAAGGGGAGGAACAGGCGTCTCCGTCTCCCGCGCCCCCCTCGCCAGCGGTGGCAACGGAAGGAGGCAGCAGCACGGCTTGCTCAGGAACAGGTAGGGAAGGGACACCTCTGAAGGGCAGCGGGGGCTGAATTCTGCCTTACCAGCCATCCCTGGTTCGGCCGGAAGCGGGAGGGCCTAGAAGAAGACTCGTAGCTCAGGGCTGAATTGTGGGTCCTGGGTGCTTTCTGAGGTCGGTTGTCTTCTGACAGGCATTTCAGGACCCACCTAAGTAACATTATCAGAGCTAGGAGGAAGTGGGGGGTTGTGGCATGGAAGAGGAGGAGAAAGAGGAGGAGGTCTGTGGCATCCGTGGTGCTCTCTGAACCTGGTGGTTTTCTTACAGGCTTCTCATGGCCCAACTAGGTAACTTCATCAATGCTAGGAAGGAGGGGGGTTTGCCTCTAGCACTGAAGATAATCCCTAGTTGGGTCATGAAACGTCTGGAAGAAAACCACCCAGTTCAGAGACCACCAAAGACTTACAGTTCAGTCCTACAGAAAGTGAGGCTGGCACCTCCCAATTTGCCCAGGAGGGGAGGGATTTTCTAAAGGGTGGAATCCGGGTGGGATTTCTTCAGTCAAAATATCATGGTGGGAGTCAGAGTCATATCCATCCATGGCAATATTTGCCTTGCTTTGTTTTTTAAGGGAAAAAATAAGAAAATTATTCAGTACACGGAGAGTTGATCTGTTCGTGTTTACTTTTTCAACACGAAAAGCAAATGGTGCTTTTTGTCTTAGCTGATGTGAAGGGAGGCCCTGAAAGAGCCACAGAGAATCTTTCCTGCTTTTTATTCTGATGAAATTAAGGAGAAGGCCTGGCACAGTTCCCCCTCTCCCCCCCCGCCCCCCTTGGATGACTCCACTGCTCTTTCCATGCAGTCTGCGGGGGCACCAGATGCTTTAGGGAGCCAATCCACATCTGTAGGCTGGATAAAGCGAGAGGTCAACCTTCAAACTGCAGATGCTGGAAATCCAGAGAAGCGGAGCCTAACCTATGAGCCACAGAAACGCAAAGAAATTTCTCATTTTGAAGAACGAACAGCTCCCTGCGAAGTCATGTTCGGGTGCTCAGGGCAGCTGTCCTAAGAGTGAGATCAAAGCGCCAGCAGGAAGGGAACCAGGAAACGCAGCCGGGCTGGGAAGGGCAAGTGGGGATCCGGGCACCATTGCAGATCTCAAGGCCCGGAACAAAAGAAAAGCCCTGACTTTGTTTTCCTGGTTTTCAACTCTGCTGCAGATGACGACCCCGGGGAGACCCTCTCTCTGCCTGCTGCTGCCTTACTCTCCCCCTCCGAAGCAGGCGCCTCCTGCGGTGCTGACACCCCCCAAGACCGAGCACTGACCTCAGCAGAGTCCTGCCAACCCCCCCGCCCTGAGGAAGAGGGGCCTGGCCAGGAAGCCCATCTGGAGCAGCTGCCTACTGAACCAGACCAGTCCGAGAACGTCCAGAACTTCCTGGGTGAGGCAGCCGGCGTGAGAAATGGGGCACTGAGCGTTTGCCAGGCTGGCCGGTCTCCCCCAAAGAGCTTTGCTATAAGGTGCCAAGGGGAGGCGGCAGGTCTGCAGCGCCCCCCCCCCCACCCCAGGTGTCTGTGGCGTGCCAGTCGCTCTGCTCAGAGGTTCAGGAGCTGTGTTGGCAGCTGCGTTCATGGGGGCCAGAAGCAGGGGGGATCCCGGTGCCCCTCCCCGGACAAGCATGTCAGGTGGCAATGATGGGAGAAGGGGCAGGGCGAGGATGGGGAAGGCAGCTCGCTTGACCAGGCTCCCCAACACCCAGGAAGGGGGCTGTGCATCTCTGCGGCTCCCCCTCCCAACCCTTGCAGGCGCTGGAGATTGGGTCGGGGGTCTTTTGCACAGGGTGGGTGAGCGCAGCTGGGGCTTCTCCTCCAAGGGTGGGGCCCAGGGCACAGCTACGTAGAAGTCTGCTGTTTGCAGGCAGTCCTCGACTTACAACCTTTCGTTTAGTGACCATTTGAAGCACTGACAATGGCACTGACGAAAGTGACCATTTTTCACACTTATGACTGCTGCTGCAGCATCCTCCTGGTCACGTGATCAAGATTCGGGTGCTTGGCAACTGTTTTGTGACGGTCGCAGTCGCAGCGTGTCCCCTTGGGGCCACAGGATCCCCTTTGGCGACCGTCTGACAAGCAAAGTCGACGGGGGAGGCCGGATTCACTCAACAGCCGTCTTGCAAACTTAACAACTTGCAGTGATTCACTTAACAACTGTGGCAAGAAAAGTTGGGGCAAAACTCACTTAGCAACTGTCTCATTTAGCAACAGAGGTTCTCTGCTCAGTTGTGGTCATCAGTCAAGGACTGCCTGTACTTCCCTGTCATTGAGGGTTCCGGGCCGTCGTTGCCCCACCGAAGCCGCAGGGACGGGGGTGGGTGGGGGCGGCCTGGTCTTCTCCCAGGAAAGGTCCTGATTCACGGCCCCTGGCAGGGAGCCCGGATCGGGATTGCAGTCCCGTCAAGTCGGTGGGTATAAATAACCTCCGTGCTGAAGCAAGCAGAATTGGAGCCATGGAGCCTCTGCCGCTCTGCCCCCCCCCGCCCCCCCCGAGCAAGGACGAGGGGCCTGGGCTTCTCTTGAAGGCAGCTGGGCCTGGCCCCCAACACCCTCGCGCCTGGGAGCGCACAATACCCCCCAAGCCTCAAAGTGCAGAGATCCACATCTTTATTGCTAGCGCTGTGGTTTTAATGCAGTCCTAGCTACTACTATGAATTGCAAGGGTGGCCACACTGGCTGGGCGTGATTGTAGTTGTAGTCCAAGGCTTCCTCTTGGCTTTGCTTCAGGCGCATCAGAGGACTAGCATTTCCCAGCCAGAGAAGAGGTGGCCTTACGCGGGGTCGACCGACATGCTGCATAAAGGCAGTTCTGCTTCAGTTAACGCAGGGGTCTCCGAGCTTTGCAACGTTACGACCTGTGGACTTCAACTCCCAGAACGTCTGGCTGAGGAATTCTGGGAGTTGAGGTCCACATATCATAAAGTTGCCAAGCTTGGAGACTCTTTGAGTTAAAAGGATGTAGCCCCACCACCGGTATTATCCTGCCTCCCAGATTAGGGTAAGGGGTTTGCTGAAAAGCAATTCGGTAGACAGAGCACCTTCTGACTCGCTGTTGAGATCGTGAGTCCACCTCACTAGCGGCTGGAAAAGAGCCGCCTTTGGTTTTCCAAGCTTCAAGTCCTCAAGGCTGTGCTTCATGCATAACAGCACCCGAACTCAGAACACCAGAGATAACGAAAGACATGCTCACCCACCTCAGGGCGTATATGGGAACAGTCACCGAGGCAGCCTTGCCAGCCGGAATGTGGGCCCCAATCACACACCTGGCCCTGAGTTAGTGGCCGGTGCAGACGGTTTAAAGGGGGGGTTCCCACTTCCTCCGCTCACTTTGAGCACCTCGACACCCCCCCCAGCGTGCCCGGCCCCTGGTTGCTCCCCTTCCTGCTTCTTTGCTGGGGATCCGGCACCCCATTTCGAAGCTGCCAGCTCCTCCGCCTGCTGCGGGTGGCCAGCCCCTCCCTTTAAGGCTGGAGCCTGTAAAACTGCCTCCGTCCAGCAGGACCAAGGGAAGCAGGCAGGGGCTCTGGAGGGGACGAGGCAGCTGGGATTCGTCAGCTAAAAATAGCAACCCCCCCCCCCCCCCGCTTCCTCCGCCCCCCCCCCCCTGCGGCCCCCCCCCCCCCCGCCCTTCCAGCCCAGAACTGGTGCCCGGGGAAGTTTCCACAGAGCAGCGAGGAGCCTCTGAGCTGCGGGAAAAGGGGATCGCCATGGCAAGCACAGGTGGGTCGTCCCCCCATTAGGATTGTGCCCTGCAAGCCTTGCCGGGCAGGGGAATCGGGATCGGGGGGGGGGGGAGGATCCTGGATGAGCCACGGAGCCAGCTTGTTTTTTGGGGTGGGGGGCTTAATGGAGTGGGGACTCTGTCTGAAGGGAGGGAGCCTTTAGGGGAAGAGAAGTGAGAGGGGCACCCTGTAAATTGGGGAGCAGGACCTAAGTCTTGTAGGGTGCAGGTGCCCCCAATCTGCCACCCTGGGCCTGTTCTTCCCCCAGGACCGTCCGCGCCTCCGCAGATTCCTTCAGCGACTGGGCTGCATCTGGGCCTGTCAGTTAAGAGGGGAGAGAGTCTGAAACAGCTGCCAGGGCCCTGGGCGCCTCGTTCTCCCCGCCTCCCCCCCCCCGTGGGTGGGGTCCCTTGGCGCCATCTTTGCAGAGCAGGAAAGCCTGGGAGCAGCTTCGGAGGGGTGGCAGCTTCTCTCTCAGGGAAGGGAAAGTGGAAATGCCAGCCGAACGCCCGTCTCTCGCTACTTAGCCCCCCCCGTCCCCCCTCCCCTGGGGCTGCATCGGCAAGTAGTCGTGTCCAGTGTGGAAGCCCCAGCAAGGAACCCGTGCAGAGTACTTGCCAAGGCTGGGGGGGGGGGGTGATTGGCACCTTCTTTTTAGGAACATGGCAGAGGAGCTTAGAGCTTGGTGGGGGGTGGGAGAGGCCCCCCAACTGCCCTTTTGCAGCCAGGTAGCGGCACCAGTGTGGGTTGGGGAGACGCTGCTGGGGGTTGAGGTTGCCCCCTCCTGCATCCTGGAATGGGAAGCGGGTAACCAACCAGACCAGGCCGGTGGTTCAGCTGGCATCTGTCGGGGGAGCCTTGGACCACAAGAGAGCAAATATTTAGAGGACAGGAAATCTAACCGGAAACGGCAGCTGTGTCCTGTTTAATCGCAGCCCCTCTGCTCTTGGTTTGAGGATGGAGCGTACTCTGCCGGACATTAAACATGGGTGCAGGAGGGGCAAACGTTCATAGGCTTCTTATTCAGCCCCCCTGCTGCCCCCCCCCCCCATTTCTGGGATATACACAGTTTGGGGTCCAGGCTGACTTTTTCTCCTTTTCTTGTCTGGAGCCAAACTTCTGGGAGTTGAATCCACAAATCTTAAAGAGTTCCCAGGCTGGATACCCCCGATCCGCTGGGAGACCCTCCAAGGTCCCTCCAACTCTGTTCCTGTTATTCTGCTTCGCCTGCAGTGGCCGACTTGGTGTACTGGCGGGACACCCGCAAATCGGCCTTGGCGTTCACGGCGCTGATGGTGGCCCTGCTCTGCCTGATGCACTTCAGCATCATCAGCGTGGCCTCCTACCTCTCCCTGGCCGCCCTCGCCATCACCATCTCGCTCAGGGGATACAGCAAGGTGCTGCAGCTGGTCCGCCGGGGAGACGGGCACCACCCCTTCCAGTGAGTAAGACGGGACGCCCGGGATGCTTGCAGGGTGTGGGGAAAGGCCGGGGGCCCTGAGAGAAGAGTCTGCCAGTGGGGTGTCTTCGTGCTCAGCTCATGCGGCTTGGCTGACCTCGGGGGGAGGGGGGGCTCCTGCTGGAGGGGCTCGAGCAGGACAGCCCCCCAGGCACCAGGGATGTTGCCCTCTCCCCGTTTGAAGTGGGTGAGTGCGGGTCCCTTGCCTTTCCCTGCAAGGGGGCTGCTGAGGTAGCCCCAGAAGATCCAGCCAAGGCTGGTCCCCCTGATCCTTGGGCTTCCGGGGATCCCAGTTTGGAGGGGGAAGGCAAGGCAGCCAGGTATGGGTTTGGCTGAGTGTCCTTCCCTTCCCACCTGCCAGGGCCCAGCTGGATGCAGACTTTGGGCTGTCCAAAGAACAGCTGGAGCGGCTGACCGAGCGGGTGGTACATCATGTCACCTGGGGCACAAAGACTCTGCAGCGCCTTTTCTTGGTGGATGACATGGTGGAGTCCCTCAAGGTGAGCCTGGGGAGGGGAATTCTGGGAGTTGGAGTCCACACGTCTTAAAGATGCAATAAACAGTCACAGAGATGCGGGCAACATTCATCCCTTTTGCCGCATAGACTTTGTTGGGCCCGGAGTCAGCGCGGACGTGTCACAAAGCCAGCTGTGTCGTGTGCCTCACTTTTGCGCCCGTTTGCTTCCTCCTGATGGGGTGGGCACAGGCTGGGCACCTGGCAAGAGGGGACCCTCTGCCTTTCCTTCCTTCCTGGGGTCTCAGCCTGCTCTGCCTTTTGTCTTTTCCAGTTTGCTTTCTTGTTCTATGCCCTCACCTACGTGGGAGCTGTTTTCAATGGTCTGACGTTGCTTATACTCGGTAAGGGGAGGGTCTGGGCGGACAGTGCCTTTGGGGGGCGGGGGGTGCATTGCAGCAATAAGAGACTCATCCCCTCCTTTCCTTCCACAGGTGTGATAAGTGCATTTACCTTCCCTCTACTCTACAGGCAGCATCAGGTGAGTAGCTAGCTCTGAGGGAGGAGGAAGATGCTGAAACTCACAGCTAGCGTTAAAAAAGGACCGGAGCAGAATTCATTCCTGCTGCCGTGTTTGCTTCGCTAAATAATTATTGTTGCTTATTTAAGCCCCAGGTCATATACAGAATAAAACATGAGACAATAGAATCCTGTATAAAAGTGGAGTAAATAGTCCTGGACTTAAAACCACAAGTGAGCACAAAATTTCTGTTGCTATGTGAGACGTATGTTAAATGTCCCATTTTACAACTTTTCTTGCCACAGATGTTAAGTGAATCACTGCAGTTGTTGTGTTAGTCACATGGGGGTTAAGTGAATCCAGTATCCCCATTGACTTGCTTGTCAGGAGGCTGCAAAAGGGGATTGCGTGACCCCCAGGGACACTGCAACGGTCATAAATATGAGTCAGTTGCCAAGCTTCTGAATTTGGATCAGGTGACCGTAAGAGGCAGCCATGGCCGGACTCTGAGTAGCTGGTTTTCAGAAGGAAGAGGACGGGCCAGAGCAACAGCTAGTTCCGTGTTCTTATTTTCGAAGGGGCTCATCCCTGTTTCTCCTCCCCCCAGGCGCAGATTGACCAGTATGTAGAACTGGTGAGGAACCAGTTGAGTAATCTCAGAGCAAAGTAAGTTCAAAATATTCCCACAGAACCGAACGGGGCAGGGCGGGTGGGGAATAGGCCATTCGAAGACCTTCTTGGGCTCCATTCTTTGTGTATCGGTGATATAATATTTATTTATTTCACTGCCCATCTCTGGGCTTAATTTCCTTAATTTATTTTTTACTTTGGATCCAATATGTGAGCCTACAAAATACTTCTCAAAGGATAGTTATTTCTGCCTTATTTCTTGGGTGAAAGAAACTGGAATGAACGAAAACATTTTAAAAATAGCAGCAATGGACCCCAAAGGGTCTAAGGAAGTCATGTTGATGGGGTGCTCGGGGTGGTCTGTGCTTCTCTCTCCAGCTTAAATGGAAGTTTTTACAGCTTTAACAGGCTTTTAAGAAGGGGTTGGGCAGCCATTTGCCTGGAATGGCATAGCTGTGCTGGCGGGAGAATTCTGGGAGTTGCCAAGGTTGGGCACTTCAGGCACAGGGTCTCCCGCTTGAGCAGGGGGGTGGACTAGAAGACCTCCAAGGTCCCTTCCAACTCTACTAACTGAAGATAGACTGGGCAAAACACCTCCTCTGGCTGGCTGGCTGGCTGAGTTTCTCTTTTTCTCCCCAGGGTGCTGGCCATATTGCCGACAGCAAAAGCGAAGGCAGAATGAGGGGTCACAGTGGTGGTTCTCTTCCCTGCGCACACAGATGCCAACGACAACGCACCCCCTGCTTCTTCTTCTTCTTCTTCTTCTTCCTCACTTCCCCTCCCCAGCCATTGCAGTAGTGACCCTTCCTCTCCCACTCTCCCTGGCCTGGAGGGGCTGGGCAGTTGCTGGTTTTCCTTCAGGCTCCCCCACTCTTGAGAAATTGCGGAACCCTTTCAAGGGGGGGGGAGGACCAGCATCCCTTGGCATCTCAGCCCTGCAGTTGCAGAGGCTCAGGGAAGCTGCGAAGGGCTGCCTCTTTTCCTCCTGGGGGGGGGGGGCGGGGGCCGAGAGAAGCCCCCTCCCCAGCCCACAGCCAAGGATTTGTCAACCAAGAGCTGAGGGGCTAGTATCCCACGCTCCTTTCCCCTTCCATGTCCTGGCGACTTCCTCCTCCTCCTCCTCCTCCTCCTCCTGCCTGCAGTATTTGTCCGGGGTCCTGAGTTGAGGCCGGCCAACCTGGAGCATCCTTCCCTCTTGCGGAAGAGGAGCTGTTCGAGGTTGGCCAGGACCACCTCTGCCCCCTTTCTGTGGGATGTTGTAGCTGTTCCCCCCCTGCCTGTCATCACGGGCCGGGCTGCGGCTTGGCTGATCAGCTGGCGGGTTGGGTGCAGCCGATTCTTTTTGCCTGGATATTTACACTTTAATAAAAACAGTTGTGAGAAAAAAATGGGTACGCATGACCACTTGGTCTCCCGAGTCTTCACTTGTGGTTGTGGTGCACTGTGTGGGTGTGTGAATGTGTCTCCTTGCCAAAGTTCCTTTTTTTGCTCCTCCTCCACACCAAGTCATAAAGTCTAGTTGGAAGCTGCAGGGGCTTAATGTCCAAGCCACAAAAGCCGGGGCCAGAACGCCCTTTGCCAATCCATGTTGCTGAAATTGTGCAAGGCGAGGAGTAAATCTCGTCCTGGTTTCATTCTTGCAAGTGGTTGAGTTTCCACACCGGCGATTGGTGGGTGGGGATTTGCCTAAAATGGGGGCCAGAAAACTTGGCAACTTTTAAGACTTGTGTTCCAATATCTGAGGGGTTGCCATAAAGAAGGCAGCGCCTGTTAAGATATTCAGTTAAACAGCTGGAGCAGTGAAGGGTTGACAATGAGTAAGGATACACCATAGTAGCTAAATGATTGATTGCCCACTGCGTGAGGCAATCTGAGCTGTGATTGGTTGCTCGGAGTGTAAAGGGGGCGTTTCCTTCTTTCCCGCCTTTTTCCTGGGTGTGTAGAATTTACCTCATGGTATTCCTGCTGTGTTGATTTACCTCAGGGGAGGGATGGATGCCCACTTTATGATTTGTGGACTTCCAGAATTACACTCCTGTTTGTCTGACTTTCTAAGTTAACTATATATATATACACACACATATATATACCGTATATAGTGTAAACTATATTTATTTAAAACTACAAGTTCGTGTCAGCGTCTTGGATTCCATTGGACACCGACCGTGTAGTTCTCTGACAGAGTCCATCTATCCTCCAAAGCACCCGAAGGCAGAACATGAAGCAACAGATGGAAACTGAACAAGGAGAGAAGCAACCTGGAACTAAGAAGAAACTTCCTGACGATAAGGACAATCAACCAATGGAATGGCTTGTCTTCAGAAGTTGTGGGTGCTCCATCAGTGGAGGTTTTCGAGAACAGACTGGACAACCATTTGTCTGAAATGATATAAGGTTTCCTGCCTGAGCAGGGGGTGGACTAGAAGACCTCCAAGGTCCCTTCCAACTCCAGCTAAGCCAGCTGAGGAATTCTGGAAATTCTGGAAGTCCACAAGTCTTACAGTTGCCAGTTTTGGAGTCTCCTGGCCTAGAACAGTCACCAGTGGGTGATGGAAACCATGTGCCACCTGTGCCCACCAGCCTTCCTTGGTTCACCCCAGGACTTTGAAGCATGGGTTGGACAAAGAGTGGGAAGACCCTGGTGCAAAAACCCCTCGATCCTGGGGAGATTCTGGGACAGCCCCTCACTCAGTGTACCTATTTCTCATTGTGGTGGTTGGGAAAATACAGGAGGGGGAAATATAATATGTGCCACTAGGATCTCCTGGAGCAGAGGTCTCCAAACTTGGCAACTTTAAAGACTTGTGGACTTCAACTCCCAGAATTCCTCAGCTAGCATAGTTGAAGTCCACAAGTCTTAAAAGTTGCCAAGTTTGGGGGCCCTTGTCCTGGAGGAAAAGCAAGATTAATGGAACAATCCCGCAACAATCCGTCTTTGCCGAGTTGCATCATGAGGACCAAACTCCCTGATGCTGGGAAGGGTGGAAGGAAAGAGAGGCCAGTGACCGGCTGCCAAGTGGAGGGACCCGGTTTTGAGGGCGATTGGGACACGGTTGGAAGACCCGAAGAGGGAAGGTTAGGGAGAGAGAGGTTCTTGGTACGTGGTCACTAACTTGGCCTATTGGTCAGCCTCCATCCAGCCTCCAGCAGAGGGAGCCCCAGGACCACAACATCTCAACCACAGCTGGAAACTACAGGCAGTCCTCCACTTGTGACCACAACTGAGCCCAGAATTTCTGTTGCTCAGAGAGACAGTGGTTATGAGTTTTTGCCCCATTTTATGACCGTCCTTGACACAGTTGTTAGGTGAATCATTGCAGTTAAGCTAATAACATGGTTGTTAAGTGAATCTGGCTCCTCCATTGACTTTGCTTGTCAGAAGGCAGGACACTGCAACTGTCCTAAGTACATGCCAGTTGCCAAGTGTCTGGATTTTGATCACACGATCATGGGGATGCTGCAATGATCGTGTCACTTTTTTCAGTACTTTGGTAACTTCAAGCAATCACTAAATGAACGGTTGTAAGTTGAGGTCTACCTGTATTAGAGCTTGTAAAAGGCTGCAAGGGAATATATCCAGACCGACCAGGCTGCATCACGGCAGGGGTGGTGGCCCCCATCATCCAGGCTCAGGAGCTAAAGTGAGCAGGGGTCAGCACTGCATGACTCTGGGGTGGGAGGCCTGCAGGGCTCTCCAGAGCCACAGGCTGGACTGGGCAGGAGGCAGGAGTCCCAGCAGGAGGCAGGCAGCCACTTCTCAAGGGAAGCGGATGCTTTCTTTCCTTCCCTATGCAAGGATGGCTTATTCACTGTAGGTTTTCACCGCTGAGTGGAGCTTCCATATGCAACAAGACTCTACCTCAACAATCCCAGAAGATCAAGTCTTCTGACAGCACCAGATAATAAAGATGCTTGTTTTAAAAGAGGAGTGACAAAGACTGTGGGTCTTGGGGTGATACAGAGAGTCCCCTGCAAAGGCCTCTCATCACCCAAGCCCACCACCCGGACACCGAGGGTGACGGCAGCGGGCAATCGGGGAGCAATGTGGAGAAAGCCAGGCAGATCTATGGCTTGAGATCTTTTATTGCACCTCATTTTTTTTTCTGTACATGAATTCGAAAAAATAGATCATATATCCATCATAAAAAGTACATTTTTTTCAAAGCTGTCTTTATTTGCTATTTTGCTGACCAATTAAGTTAAGTGCAGGACAGGAGGGCCAAAGCAGGGGCCAAACTTCGCCTTTCCTCTACTGGCTCTCAGATTGCTTCATCAAATACATCACAAAAAATATTACAGCACAGGGGGTAAATAACAATAATTAAAAATAAACATATTCCCCCAACCCCAGCAAGAATCTGTTTTGTTTTTCTTTTTTTAAAAAAGCTGGTTAAATAAAAGTCCATAGGTTAAAAAAATAAAATAATTAAAAAAACAACACAACATCCAAAGCTTGGTCACAAGAAAAAGTTTTGGAAACATTCTGAATAGCATCGTGGTGAGCTCTAGGGAGCCAAGAAGCAGCACAGCAGCTTTCTCAGTCCAGAAACGCACTCGAGGGGAGGTTAGCCAGAGGCACAGAACAGAGCAGGCTGCACAAAACACCCCACCAACGCAGAGCGGCTGGGGACCCCCAGCACAAAAGGGAAAGGGCCCCGGGGTGGGAGGCTCAGAGGGGCGGGTGCTCTCAAAGAAGGCGCACTTGGCATGGGCCAGGGTCTGGGGGGCCCAAGAGGCCTTCGGGGGGGGGGGCGGGAAGAGCCCCCTAGCCAGGAGGAGCAGCCTACATGCCACAGGCCTGGAAGAGCAGCGGTGTGGTCAGAGCAAAGCTGGGGAGGGGGAGGCAGGGAGCAATTCAAGGGGTCACACTCCACACTACCAGCAGCAGAGACGGAGCCCCCGTGGACTCCTGGGCAGCCCGGAGGCCTGGCCTGAGAGCAGAGGGGAAGCAGCTGGGAGAATGCAATGAGTTTGAGGTCCAGCTGGCCAAGGTCGGGAAGCAGATACCTAGTTCCCAACTGCAGGGAAAGCGGTCGCTTGCAGAGGTCCCTTCACAGTATTTGTCACCCAGACCCCCCCCCCCCCCCCACCCCTCTCCCAGAAGCCAGGACCCTCCCTCAAAGAAGCCAGTTGAGCGGGCGGGGCCAAAGGGAAGTGAATCTCTTCCAGGGAATGCAGAAAGTCCACTGGTCAAGCCTGTTGGACAGGTGGACTCACTAGAAGCACCACCTGGGTCTGGCAGGGAGTGGCCAACCCATCCAAAACAGCAGTGCAAGAAAAATCTCAGCTGCTTTGGGGTTTTTTTGCAGGTCCCACTTTCCTTTGGCTTCTTAACAGTTTCAGATTTTACCATTTCCTTCCAGATAAACTACTTTTTATACCACCCATCATTCCCATTTCCCAAACTGGAAACCAAAACAGATCTTTAAAAATCAACACTGACTTGATGGCACAATTAATTTGCTTGGCTGAAGGTTTCGGGGAGAGTTGAATGCCCACCAAAGAAATATCATCCCGGACCTCAAAGAATCCAATGCCCAACAGCAGCCTTACAATTTGCAGGAGTCCACGAGCAACTGAGAAGCAAGGCTGCAACGTTTTGGCCCACTTTAATATGACAAAAGCTTTCAGCAGGAATGTGGCCAGATAGTTCACAAAAAGTCCGCCCTGGTTGGCCACTTAATGTGGCTTTTCCATCCTAGGAGAAGCAGATCCTGTAGAAGTGTAGCCCGAGAGATCCAACGCACGGGAGGCCAAGCTGACTAGCGAGCGGGTAAAGTGCCTGTTTTAAAACCATGCAGCTAACACAGTTCATAAAGCCACCACAAGACACGAGCTGGGTGGGGGCAGCATAGGGAGGGTCTCTTCCCCCTTCAGCTTCCTCTCTTCGGGGCAGCCCTTGGCACAGCCCCCACTGACAGAAACAGTGGTGAAGTCTGGAGAGAAAAGGCATCGTCCAGTCCCAGCAAGCGTCCCAGTTCAGTAGAAGGCAAGTCCTGTTTCTCCGAGGAGGGGGAACCAACTCACAGCCCAGAAACACCCCCCTTTCTCCTCTCGATGTGGGAATTGGCCAAAGGACAAACATCGGCTCCTCCACCGTGTGCTGCACCCCCAAGGAGGGAATGAGAACGCATCGCAAGGGCTAGAGGCGGTGGCTGCAGCTGCAGCAGAGCGGGTTAGAGGCTCCCAGGCGATAGCGGTGCACCCAGGCGCATTGGGGCTCCGGCCCCCTTCACCCAGCCCGGCGTTGGCAGGGGCGGATGGGCTGGCAGGCTAGACCCAAAGGCGCAAGTTGGGGTTTGAGTGTCACAAAGCAAGGAGCGAGGGAGAGTTCAGAGAGTCCGGGGAGTGGTCGCTGCTGCCGTTCCGCTGGTGGATGGCTCCACAGGTGGCTCCCTCTGGGTAGGTGAACACAAACGAAGACGTATAGGAAGGGTTAACCGGGTACGGGTCGGTCAGCTCTTCACCATGGCTAAAGTAAGAACTAGAAAACGCTACCTCCGCCGGGGCCGGGGCTGCGGCCGGGAGTCCGCCCAGGGCCTGCTGGTAATGCAGGGGCACCGAGGAGTAGGGGGCCGAGGGCCCAAAGGGGTCCTCCTTGACCGGCATGGCCAGGGCGCTGACCTCTGCCGAGGGGCCGGGCTGCCCACTCAGTTCTGTGATGTCCTGGTAGGGGATTTTGCAGCTGCCCTTGTGAGCCACGAGGACAAATTCCAGCCGCTCCCGTTCCTTCTGCAGCTCCGCAATCTCCGACTCCAGCTCGGCTTTCTCTTCCTCCAGCTGGTCCGTCTCCTGGGGAAGAGGCAGCACCAGGTCAGGCTGGGGCTGGAGCAGCTGGGAACCGGGGGGGGGGGGGGGGGGCGCCAGGGGGCCCCCAAGCAGCGCCTCCTTCTTGATCGTCTCGTCTCCTCCTTCCGGGCCCATCGGGAGACGCAGCTCAAGGGAAGCGTTAATGGGTGGGATCCTGCCTGCCTCCCTCCCGACCCCCACCTTCCGGGTTCCCCCCTGCTTTAAGGTGCAGGGACTGGGGTCTTTCCAAGGGGAAGGGCGGGGGGCTTCGGAGGTCCTTATTTGTGGATTCGGCTTGGACCGTGGTTAGTCGGAGCAGACCCCCCACCCCCCACCCACCCACCGAATCTTGGTGGGGGAGGCAGAGGAAACGCCTGCTTTTCCCAAAGGGCCCCATGAGCGCAGAAGAAGGGGAAGGTCCAAGGAGGCCCCTTCCTCGGCAACCCCAGGTGGGTGGCTGGAAGGGCCCGAGCGGGGCCCCCACAGCATCTCCCCGCTGAAGCATCCCCACTTCCGAGGACTGGTGGAGCAGCATCCCCCCCAAACTTTCAGGGAACGTTTTGCAAAGTGTGGTCAGAAAAGTCAAGGCGGCATCGCCATCAGCACCATGGAAGCAGCTCTGCCAGCATTCTAGGAGCTGAAATGGCAGCTTTGCGGCTCCCTCCTTGACTTCTTGACTGCACCCTGCAGACACCCCCGACCCCTTGCAATAAAAAAGTGAACGATTCTAATTCCACATGAAATCTCTCTCCACCTAAAGACGAGGCCCACGATAGATCAGAATAAGCCCACTCAAGGTGAAGTAACCCAAGGCCAGGGATCTGTCCTGACAGCTGCTTCCTTACTTGAGGGACGGTCCGAATGGCCACATTTGAGGGACACGATCAGCCTGGATGGGGCTCCCACAGAGCCCTCGTGAAATGGGAGGGTTCGCAACATGCGCCCCATGGGGCGAGCTCTGTGCAGGGACAAGGCCCCAGATTCCCTCCTGGGGGCTTTAGGAGGCCAGAACAAGGATAACACTAACTCACCCCCACCCGCCCCCGTTTGCACGAAAACTCACCGCTTGAAGCCGGTCGGTCAGTTCTCGGCGTCGATTCCGGCACTTGGCGGCCGCCAGCTTGTTCCTCTCCCTGCGCACCCGGCGCTTTTCTTCCTCCTCAGGAGTCAGCTGTGCAAGCAGAGAGGAGGGGCAGATCAGGCTTCGGCTGCCATTGCAAGGCCAGAGGCTTCCCGGGGCGCCTGGCACATATTTGCAACAGGGGGGCAAGTTAAAGGCTCCCCCTGAAACGTGGATGGGAAGACGGAACTGCGCCATCATCCTTTATGATGGATAGATGGGGAGGGGGAGGCAGGGAGGGGAGACAGAAATGTCCGAGCAAGGAACAGACCCAACAGCCGGCCAGTCGGCCTATTGGAACACTTTGGTTTTTGAAAACAAATTTCATTTCAACCCCAGTTCAGTTTTCATGGGTTGTTTTATGATGGTCTGGTTTTTATCACATTGCTTTATTCCTAGGCTTGCTTTTCCTAACCTTAATGCCTTGCAACCCACCCAGAATCTTTTAGGTAAGGTGGGCTATAAAACCTGTATATTAAATAAATTGGTAGAGTGTATTTCTAAACTGATAAGGCTCTAAATTGGGGCAGGAAAGATGGTAACATAAAATGTTTTTTTTCCCATGAAATTCAAGAGCATCTGTGTGCCTTACAACAGGGGTCTCCAACCTTGGCAACTTTGAGACTTGTGGACTTCAACGCCCAGAATTCCCTAGCCAGTGCATGCTGGGAATTGAAGTCCACAAGTCTTAAAGTTGCCAAGGTTGGAGACCCCTGCCTTATCACACACATCTCTTCCTCCAGGCTATGTCGAATCAAAATAATACAGCCACAAGTAACTCAACCAATGTTGGTTTCTGCAGCATTTGGTTCAGTGTCACCAGAACTTCTGTTGGGCCTCAAATCTGGAGCCAGCAGAACTTGTCTTCTGGATTTCCTGGTCTCCCAAAGTAGCATTTGAAGCCATAAAAGATCATCAAGATGATTTTGGGGACCCATCAAACTCACTGCGCCAGGAAGATCCGTTTTCCAGATTGTTTTAATTTTTCAAAAAATGAACGGGAGCTTAGCAACCTGCAGAACACCCACTGCTGTCCTAACCCGTTTTCCTCCCAAGACCTTCTTAGAGAACAGAATTGGGGAGGGGGGCTGCCTGTCAAGCTGCTCTATTCTTCTTGAGGTGAACCTCAGGTGTGTTTTGGTGACCAGGGGCGCTCCGCCCAATTCCCATTTTGTAAGAACACTCACAATGGATTCTCAATGGTGAACGTTGAAGTAGGGGAGGGAAGTCCTCGGGAAGCCCCCCTTCTAGCTACATTATGGCCTCCCCCCCCCCCAAGGCATCCTAACTTCCAAGGAGACAATTCAGAAACTGGGAATCTCTTTTGGGAGACTCCAACATGCTGGGAGATCTCAACATTTTAGCAAGCAAAGGGAAATAAGTTAGTGACCTCCTGGCCAAGGAAGGAAAAGCCGCTCACCGTTTCTTCCCGTGTTCTTCGGGGCCGGGCCCTGCTGGAGCGAGACGGGGTGGCTGCAGCCACAGGGGCAGTCGAAGGGCCAGCCCCATAAACCCCCATTCCTGGGGTAGCGTAACTGGGGCCAGGCAGGTCATAGGGGTCCACTGTGGGTGGGGGCGGCCCCGAAGGCGGAGGCGGCGGCTGCTGCTGCTGCTGCTGCTGCTGCTGCTGCTGCTGAGACTGGGCCATTGAGGAAATCAAGGTAGGCTGCACCAGCCACTGGAGGTCTTGGCTTGTGGATATGGCAGTCACTGTTGGCACAAAAGATCCGGGCATTTCCCCAAGGCCGCTGCACTCCTGGAGGGAAGCAAAGGGTCAGGGGCTCATTGTGGGGGTCTGCTTTGGAGAACAGGGAGCACTTCCCTGGCCGCACTTCCACTGGCGCAAAGCCGCTCCCACTTGCACTGCTCCTGTGTCCGGCATGCAGGACCCCAAAGCCGGGAGGTGGGCACCAGCCATCTCGTCCTAGGCACACCCGCTCCACAGCCGCCCCATCAGCCAGGGCGCCCCGCGGACCGGAGCTCAGGGCTGGCCCTGGAAGCCCAAAGCCGGCTCCATCAAGCCATGGCCGGGAACGGGGGCTCACTCGCACCCCGAGCGCTTCACTTGGGGCAGCCAAGAGCAGCCCGCGGGGCCGCGCCTGGACCGGGAGGGGGGCACCCTCCGTCTCCCAGACCCGGGGGGTCCCCGGGGTCCCCCGAGCCGGGCAGGGACGGGAGCGCAGGGCTGCCCCTCGAGACCCATCATCCCCAGCGAGCAGGTGGTCCGGCGCCGCGGGGGGGGCGAGCCAAAGAGCCCCCACTCGGGCGCCCCGGAGCAGGGCCGGCATGGCAGACGCCCGTCCGGGCAGCCCCGCAAGAGCCTCCCGCCCGCGAAGGGACCACGCCGGGCAGCCGCGGCTAACTCAGCTGGCAGAGGGGCAGGTGCGAGGGGGCGCGGCTGGGAAGCCGCTCAACCAATCCGCGCGGCCCTCGGTCTTGCCCCTCCCCTTAGCAACGGGGGCGGGCCAGCTTTCCAAAATAACCCGCGCGCCTCGGGGAGGAGGAGGACGGAGGAAAACGCGCCCTACGTGCCTCACGTCAGCACGGAGCGTTCCAGTACGTCATGCGTTACGCACAACCCCGCCTCCCTTTCTCGCTCGCATTCTCGCTTCTCCTCCAGCGCGCGTGCGTAGAGGGAAGGAGAAAAGAGTTGTATTCGGACGATGGGGAAGACTTGCGGGGGGGGGAGCGTGGCGGCCCCCTTTGCAGCCCCTCGAACGGCGACCGGATGCCCCGAGAAAGATGCTTCGTCCGCACCGAACGACCGCCCGCGATGGGCAATGAGTGGCGAGGAAGAGAGCGGACGCTCCAAATCTAGCCGCGAAAGGAGCGGGGTCGTGGGGGCGCGAGCGAAGGAAAGACGGGGGTCCCATAGACCCCCCCCCCCGGGATCGGACCTCCCGCGCTGCTCCCGCCCTCCAGGAAGCCCAAAGCCCGCAGCCGGGCTCCCCCGTCCCTTACCTGCGAGGAGGCGGCGGCGGCGGCGGCGGCGGCGGTCGGGCTCCCGAAGGAGTCCACCGAGGAGAGGTACTGGGACTCGGCCGAGGGGGACGAGCTGCACCGGGAGGTGGAGTCGTAGTCTCCGGGAAAGCCCTGATACATCTCCCTCGGGGGCGCAGGCAGGAAGCCGCGGCCGCGCGGAGGTCGCCTGGAAGCCAAGATGAGGGGCGAGCGCGGCCAGCCAGCGAGCGGCCGGCCGAGAGTGCCGCCGCCGCCGCCGCCGCCGCCGCCGCGAGGTCGGGCTGGCGAAGTTGCCTCCGAACTTGCCGGCTGGCCGCCCCTTCTTCCTCCCCCTCCGGCTGTCAGTGCCTGGGGGGGAGACGGCGCCCTGAGCGGCGGGGGGCTCGCCCGGTCCTAGATCCACGTGTGGCGGCGGCTGGGCACCGCCGGTGGAAGCGTCCGCTCAAATCCGCTGGTTCCCGGGAGGAGCGCTCCTGCCTCGGATTCCTGCAGCGCCTGCAAAGCCCGGCGCCTCGGCTCAGATCGGGCGAAAAGGGGAGTCCACCGCGGGGGTCCCTCGCAGCTCCGTCTCCGTCGCGGGTCCAAATCTTATGAATGAAGCGCGGTCGGCAGTGTGGCTTATTTATACAAGGAAGGGGGCGGGGCCCTGCTACGTCACCCAGAGGAGACCCTTTGGGGTCGCCGAAACCGGGCTCCGGGGCCGTCTCCGCGCCCCAAACTCGAGCGGTAGCGATCTCCGGTCCCTGCCGCTACTCCAGCCCGGGAGGGTCTCTCGGCGGCCCCGGCAAGGGCGTCTTTTTCAAGCGCTAAAGCAGGGGATCCCTGGCTCCGCCCTACGGGTGTTCCTGTGTGACGCAATTAACCATATTTGGTCTTGTGCTGTGTTTGTTTGGTATCCTTAGCAATACGTCAGAGGGAATCCCTTTCTGCGGAGCCGCGGCGGCCTCGCCAGCCGCGCTGAGCCGCCCCCTGAGCGCGCGCGGCTTTTGTTGGGTATTAATAGAAACTTTTACTATATTCTAGAAACGGCATGAAAGCTCCGCGGCGGGCAGGGAAAGAGCGCCGAGGGGAAGCTGCCTCTGGCCGCCGCGGACAAGCGCCGCACGGCCCGAGAGGCGATTCTCTCGGCTGGGCACCAAGCGGGCGCCCTTCTGCGCCCCGACGCCCCCCTGCCCAGCCAGGAGGAGGAGTGACGATTGTAGCCCCGCAGGGTCCTAAATGTAGGGAGCCCCGGGATGAAAGGAGGAGGGCGGCCTTTCCGCCCAAGACAGCCTGGAAGGATTTGGGGACAGCAGCTTCCCTCTCCACGCCCAGCCCACGGTTGGGGTGTCAAAGCTTTCAGAGCCCCATGGCCGTGAGGTGCGACTCGGTTTATGACCCACATTCCCGCAGCCACAGCAAGGAGGTCTAGCACGAAAATGTGCGATATCTTCTTCTTCAACCAGAGGAGTGGTCTGCATTCAGCTTTGTGTAGGTCCCAAAGCCCCTCGGGAGACCATCCGGCACCCAGTTGCGATTTCCTCTGTAAGCGGGTTCGTTCCCATTTCTACCCAGAGAACCCCTTTGCCACTTTACAGAGATGGTTCTAAAGGATCTGCCATCTGAAACTGCTACTTGGCTGGGTCAACCAGGCCAACCAAATACCCTTTAGCTGGGTCTGTGTTTGAATCTTGCTTGTGGGGGTTCTGGGTCTGTGTTATCCAAGCTCATATAAACTGGGTTAATTGAACAAGACATGATTAACTCCCCCAAGAAGATGGATGCCTTCCAAAGTCATGCCCTTCCCCCCTGGAACTCAACCCCCACAACCCCCAGCAGCTTCCTGGCCTGCTAAGCCAAGAAGAGTTAATGCTTCAAGGAGGGGCTGGAACACCCCCTGCCCCCCCCCGACCCCCCCCCCCCGCGTGGCCTTGAAGATTTTCCAGTTTGGTGAAGCCTGTTTGACGAGGGAGCGGTTAGACTCAAAGGCAGGAACTTGATTTCGCTTTGCATCTCTGCACAACCCCTCCTTTACCTGACCTTTCTGGAGCTCCGATAAGACCTTCACACCCTCCTCCACTTCCAGGAGAGCCAGCCTGGTCTTGCCTGGAGCTGGGGGTGTTACGGGGTCTGGAGTCAGGCAGAATGGAGCCACGGAGAGACCTGTGAATCTCAGGGGAAGAGATTCATTTTCTCCCTGCTAAACAGGGCTGGCTTGCTTGTTTCTTTATTAAACGTATTTGCTGCCCATTTCACTACAAGGCGACTCTGGGCTGCTTACCAACATTTTATTACCGTGAAATACGAGGGGAGAAGCTACGTTGAAAGGGGTGCATGCAACACGTTTAGCTGAATCGCAGCTCACTCCAGTGCTTGGATTTGCAGAACTCGCTGACCGCAGCCTACTTCTTTTGCCCCCGAGCATCATGTGAACTCAGCCACAGAAGGGCAGACTCTGACTCCAAGAGCTGAATAAAAGGGAAACCACCTTGACTGGGCAGGGAGTCCCTGCACAGAGGGAGGGATCGCCTGAGGAAGGCCCCACCCTTGGCCTGGGAAAGGCTCAGACATCCATCTTCCTTCTGGGTGAAAGGCCTGGAGGTTCCCCCCACAGCAATATATCGCATGCTGATAGGCAGGATGATGGATGCGGTGTGTTTCCATGCTAGCCTGGTGGCCTCTCTGTAATCTGTGGCGTGGGCCAGCTAAGCCTTTCCCCTTCAGCTGTAGCCGCCTGATCTATTCCAGATGTGCTTTGGAGAACATCTGCTTACTGGCCTGCCTGCAGAAGATTTGCTGAGCAGGGATCATCTGGTTTTCTTTGGCTTTGAATGAGTATTTGAATTCTACCGCCAATCAGCAAGCAGGAGAAACTCCAGGAAATGCACTGAGTTTATATCCATGTTTAAATCAGGGAGACAGAATGGCCAGGCCTGGCCTGGTGACAGGGCACCTGCTTTTGGGGACCCCCAAAACCTTCCCGGAAGGGGCAGTTTCTGCTTTGGGACCTTTGGAGAAACCAGGGCTCTGCTCCTCACCCCCGCCCCCCCGCCCAATGGATGCTCTCATCTGTGCAGAATGGCACTGGGGCTGCTGAGCGCAGATCACTGAGGCTGCAGGGTGTGCACGAGTGTGGGATTGACCCACTTCTGGACCTCCAACAGCTGAATGTGTGAATTCACTGCCTTGCGCTGACTGTAATAATCGCACTCCGGTGCCCTACGCAGGGCAGAACCTCTAAGGTTTGACTCCATTTTCTGCAGGGCTAAATGAATGCAAGTGAGGTCCTTGGCTGATGGGTTCAGGAATGTGAGCAGGGAGGAACGATCCGTGCCGCTCTGTTCCAGCAAGGTGTTTGTCCCCAATTCAGTAGGAAACAGGAAATCCAGGCTCCTCTTGCAGAGAACATGTTCAATGCGCTGGGCAGAGCAAGTGAAAACACTGCAGGCTTCCAGAAATGTGGGTCATGATCCGAGATAAAATTCCTGCTGCATTGGCTGCGAAGTGCTTTGGGGAGGAGAAAGAGCGGGGGGGGGGGGGCGCTGGAAGCTGAATGCCAGCCATGAATGGAGGCATTTCTGTAAGTAGAGCAGCCACGTATAAATTTAGCAGCAAGCCAATAATCCGTCCTTCTCAGAACAAGCCTCGCAAATGCGCCCTGAGGACACTGTCGTCGTGCTAAGGAAGAGCTGGGTGGATTTGCCGAGCCCCACGCAGCCCACGGAGCATGTGGCAGGAGGAGTGGGGGCTCCAGGCTGGCTTCCCAGGGGCGGGAAGGGGAGAGTAGCAGGAACCAAATGGGTTTACACGTAAACTCTTCACCTTCGCCCTTGTAGCCTGGTGGCTGTTTAGATCAAGAACAGTTTCCTCTGAGCGGCTGGTTAATGTATAATCCCAGAAGTTAAGAGGGAGAAGCTTGGGGGCCGGGAAGGGGGACTTACTCCTGGGTAAATCTGGAAAGCTGCATTGAAGGTCTCCTCTGGGGGTTCACACAGGCAGATTTTGGACCTCTGACAGTCTTCCTTCAAGGAGGCATCTCTTGGGGTCCTGGAGGAAAGATTAAAGAACGGCAGGTTCTTCTAGGCATACACAGAGTGCCCCCCTTCGCCACTTTCCCCATCCGGGTACCTTCAAGCATGGGCTTTGGGGCCTTGGGGAAGAATGTGCCCAAAATTTGTGAGGTGGGTAGAAAAGTGGGTCAGAAGGAACAGCTCATTTGGGACACAACTATTATCAAACATGGACCGAGTTTATTTTTCAGGGCGGTTGGCATTTTAAAAATAAGGCATCGTTAGACTCTGGTATACAGCTTGTTCCGGTTTCGGCTGGGCTGGGTGTGAGCGGTGTTTGTTCCCAGCGGCAAGAAACTTTCTAACTTGGTTAGTTGTTTGCATTCCACCCGGCCTGGCTCATAACCACAGAAGGAATAAAGCACAAGAGCTTCTGGCAGATCACACAAGGCCCGGCCAGCAGCGGGCCAGACACAAATAATGACCGAGTGGGATCTGGACGTTTTGCCTGCTGACCAAATATAGCCCCTGCCCCACCAGCCATCAGACAGGCCAGGCTGGGCTATTCTGGTTCTTGCCCCGCCTGCCGCCCCGTCTGCTGTCTGACCAAAGGATCCCACTGGATGGAAAGCCTGAGACACCCAAATGGTTACCCCTACTTTGCAAAGCGGAGCACCAGGTGTGCAGGAAGTGCTCTCAGGTACTCCAGGTAAGTCTGGCAGATCACGGCACCCAGTGCCTTGAAAGGGGGGCAGCCACGTCAGGTGGGCCAGCTTTTTCTACCTGGGTAGAGTTCCAATTTAGCCATCACAGCTGGGCACCTGGGAGTTGTAGAAGCGGCATCGTTGGATGTCCCATTATAAAAGGGGTGCCTTCCTAATATTTTCAAGCCTACCACCCACAGCAGGGGTCTCCAACCAGGGCAACTTTAAGACCTGTGGACTTCGATTCACCAAATTCCCCAGCCAGCTATATGCTGAAATTAAAGTCTACAGCTCTTAAGGTTGCCCCGGATGGACACCCCTGCAGTATCCTTTGCAACCATCCCACAACTAACCAGACCTGACCCTTTGGGTCTTGGTCAACCAAGGCCGGCCGCAGGGGCTTGCTGGGGCAGACGTCTATTTAAAGCAGTTCAAAATGGCAGCCACAGCACCCACCCCCAGGCATTAATGCCTGTGGGGAAAGACTGGGGTTTACGGTCCTGGCTGCCGGCTCCTGATGCAGACCACCCCTCTGCTCAGCCACTGCTTTATCACCTCTCCTTGTCACTTCCTCGCTCTGTGAAGTGTGTGTAGCCGCCCCCC